ACTATTATGGTACATACAAATTAAAGCAATAAAAAAACATGGTTTGTCATGTGTATTATCATCTCATTAACACCATACATCACATAAGTTTGAGAATATCCTAAAATAGAAGACTGCTGCAAAAGAGCATCTTAAGAGTATGTTTGTCCATCATAAACCTACATGAACTTGTCTTATTTTCTATTTAGGTGGCGCTCTACAGTTTCGAAATTAGCATAGGGTTAGAATTTTAAAGAAAAAGAGTTTCCCTGGGTTTCCTCACTATTTATACTGGCTATTTAAAAGAGACTGTATATCTTAGGTATTGTTCAAAGAACCTCTAATTCCCTTTATTTTGATGTATGATTGATGGGTGTAATATGGGTTAGAGAGTATACAGCTTTGCCCTATTCCAGATGTGCACCTTTCAAAATGTGCTAGCTCTACTTGCTCATTTTCACTTCTTGAACTTCAGAGGCAAATTGTAAAAAAAAGAGCCGATAACTTTTTTACATTTTATGTATTTGGTAATTCATTCATTGCACTTTTAGAAGCTGATATTGTCTAGTTTGCCAAACTTCATTTTCCATATTTTAATAGCTGCTAAGAATAGTGTACTTTAGACAAATTCAGGTTGATTTTTGGAGCACAAGGGAGCAGTCATTTTAGTTAGCAGTGTCCTAAGATCATTTTAAATTTCCAAAAGTACAATATCCAAAGAAATTTCAGCCACATTACATGAAAGTAGCATATAGGTATGCCTACATTCTCTCTATGCATTTTTAAACTGCAAACAACTTCACCTTATATACATCACTCTCTCAAAAGTACATAATAACTGGTGAGCGCCACCTTATAGTAGCTGTGTATGACATGTTTCTATATAAAACACAAACAGGTTTTGATAGTTTGAAATGTATGTTACAGATTCATTATAATAATGAATACAGTGGTTTGTAAACCAGTCTATTTTTTTTAAATGGCATCAAATGTTGAGGAACAGATGTGACTCAGATGTTATATGACTGAAAAATGTAGAGAAGGATATTTTTAAACTTTAAAATTATGTTGAATTAGAAAAATTACAAATTAATAGTACCTTTAAAAGTTCAAATGATGACTGATTGATATAACACAGTACACTGTACTAAGGTCAACCACATTGTCATCCTCCTTACTGAAATGTGACTCTTCAATCACTCAGTGAAAGTTAGACATGTCATTTAGTTATAGTGAGTATACAGTTTGTTTTGTGTTTGTATTTTGGTCCTAATCCATGTGGATTATGCCCATTTGTGACATTTTCATACAGTTTATTGTAATTATGGCATGTAATATATAGATTAAATATTTTATACAGAGATTTATAGGTTATTGCATTGTATGGGAAAATATAATCACTTTTTATTATATACTCATTTTGTTTTACTGCCTAAGGCTTAATAATAAAAGAATACACTTCAAAAAACAAAATGAATTTCTGCTGTATTTCAAAACAAATACAGAACCATAGATTCATCAATACACAGTAACAATATTAATGCACACATAGCACAACCCAGCTACCTTTGAATATTGTTGTGTGCTTAAAATTAGTTTTAAAAACATTCCCAGTTTAATCTACTTAAAATTTAAATGAATGAAGGTGTACTGAAAAACTTTTCCAGTTAGTCTGGAATGGATGGATTTTGTTTGTCTATTGATCAAACACAATTCTGCTTTTCTGCTTATGATGGACTGGATTTATTGATTTATTGGGTCAATTCAGTGCAGTAAGTAGAATGTGATTTCAGCTATGACCTGTATCATACATTGTATGTCTTCTATTGCCTGCCTAATATTGTATCAAAATAGTTAAAGGGTGAAAATTGCAAAGCAGCTGTTGTATGACAGTCCATTTAGCCAGTACAGATTATGTTTTTTCATCATCTTGGCTTATTGTCTCTGTGTTTCTTACTGAAAGTTTCAGTTGCATTATTTCTGGCACTTAGTGTTTTTACTGACTTTGTAAAATGCTACTTTCCATGATAAATCATGATAAATATGTAATAGCCCATGGCCTCAGTATGCTTTTTATTTTTTTTTTTAAAAAATCCTTTAGAGCACTGGTCATAGTCTCAGCCATTCTACTTGTGAAAAGATGCAAATATTTCTCCTAAATAACTCTTTAAATGATCAACATGGTATTTTCAATTACTTTATTGCTCACATTTGTTATTGACATTGTGAATATCACATTCATTTGTTTGAACATTTCATTAGTGTTTGAACATTTCATTAGTGTTTGAACATTTCATTAGTGTTTGAACATTTCATTAGTGTTTGAACATTTCATTAGTGATTCATTGAACTCATCCACATCATTAACTTTATCATCTCCCCACATGCGATCAATGTCTACCAAACATTACAAAATTTCCAAACCAAATAAGGAGTTATTTTTAAAAAAAGTTTCCAATACTATGGAACTTTGCTCTGGATTAGAGATTAGAAATTAGTTGAGATTAGAAATGCCTACTCTATTTCCTTTTTCCAAACCCAGTATATACAGTGGCTTCAGAGATGCAGCAAAATATAAACAAATTTCTTTGAATGAGGGCCTCAAAGTAGATTAGTTCTTAACTAATTGAGTTACCCTCTTTAAATAACGTAATAATAATAATAATAATAATAATAATAATAATAATAATAATAATAATAATAATAATCTGTACTATCAAATGGATGAAACATCCTGTTTAGTTCATCCACAAACAAATCTAATAAACCAAAAGCTAAGATGTGTATTAAATGAGTGTACATTGTTTACAGAGCTAGAGGACCCAGAGAAAATACCAAGCCAGACATGCATCAACTGCCTGCCTGCCCACAATCCCTCATGCATCTAGTGGCTGCCATATGTCAACTATATTTTGTTTTAATTAGTACTGTTTAAAAACTTACTGATTTAGGTCTAAAAAGTTCAAAGGTCAAGGTCATGGGGCCTGAAATAGGGAAAACTATTTCCACACATGAATTGTATGCCAGATACATTGACAAACTTTTGTAAATGACTTGCATATGAAAAAGACAAAATGCTTATTGCTCACAGTGACTCTCAGAAGAAAAATGGTTTTCACATGATACTATGAGATCTGTATTAACTGCTTTGATCATGTGGATGATTTGTATTTCTGACAAAGAAACTGTCAATTCAATTTGAGTTAAGGTCAGGGTCACATGGATTAAAATGGAAAAACTACTTAAGTTCTGTACCATCCAGCTTAACTAAACTGCATTTTGGACAAAGATGACTTGAATCAATTTTGGGGTTTAAAAGTCAAAGATCAATGTCAGTGAGACTACCAGAAGTAAAATTGTATTCACAAAATAACAAGTCCTATGCCATAAACTAGGACCAAACTTTGTTAATGACTTGAATGATTTGAGACAAAAAAAGGTACATGTTCATTTTTGGGTCAATAGGTCAAAGGTTATGGTACCCAAGATCAAAAAAAGAAAAATGCTTTCTGGAAAATAATTCAAGTTCTCCGTCTTTTTGCCAGTACTTTAATTTATGATAGAATAGGGGATGCCTTATTATCCAAACATGTGTTGATTCATATTTTAGATACTAAATTCCTTCTTTGCACACTGGTGGCAATAATGCTAGCACACTAGCAACAAAATTTCTTCATCCTGACAACAAATTATAAATGGCTGAAGATTCAAGAATGAGTTATGGACAAGAGTTCATGTTTATGTAAAAGCAATATTGAGGCTGATGAAAATAGCCACACAGAATGTGTAAAATTTGGATTGGCGGGGTTTAGAACTGTATTCCCCATAATAATTAAATGTTAGGGTTCGATTTTAAAAGTAATTATCATTTGACGACTGCATCATGAAATTGGCAAAGATTTTCAATATTGGGGAATTATCTTGAGACTTGTGACCAATTCCTATGTTAGACATGATTTAGAGACGGAGGATTTATATTTATTATTTTATGGATGTGCAACAATTATGGATGTATAACAATTTTGTTATATTGCAGATCCAGATGTATGAAATGTTACTCGTTAATTTTTTGTTAACATGTCATTCCAAAGCAACTAAGAATCTAAATCAGCTATAATGTCTTACTGTCCTAGTTGTATTATTTAATAGTGCATTCAGGTTACAAGGAAGAAGCAGATGTTAGAATTACGAATGGCATTCCAGTCACGATATTTGTACCGCGGTCTTGTTCAGACTTCTATAGTGACGAATTGCATGGCAGCTGTGTATCTGCTGCAGCTGTTTTAAAAAATTATAATCTGCCACATATAGACACGTCATATGAGTTATATGACCTTATTATATATTAATTGAAGGTAATATATACGTAATACCGAAATTGAGGGACCAGCCGTTTCGTTCGGTTGTGGCGAGGGTGGGGTTGTAATTTCTGTAAAATCGAGGTATTTGTTTAACTGTGCTGTTAAGACCAGAAGAGTTGATGGAATGGTTTATCATCCATCATCCGATGTCTGTTTTCCATCCATCCATTAGTACAAGTTTGTTATCACACTCCTAAACTACTAGGAGGATTGTCATGAAACTCCACACACACACACACACACACACACACACACACAGATACACAAACACATTCATTGCATTCTCCATTGTGAAGGGTCTGTTTTTTAAGGAAGATAACAAATTTTTTTTAAAGAAATGGCGTAAATGATCTTGTCGACGTCAAAACTAACGAAAAAAAAAACATAACCCTCTATGTGTAAACAAAGTAAATCACATCAAGACAATTTTTTAAAAGTCAGAATTCACAACCTTAAATTTAATGCCGTCGTTTTATCATACATTTAACCAGTCGTCCACTCTAACTAAAGTTTGGAAGGAAGGAAATGATTTGTTAATAAAGCTCTCTGACATAAACCGTTTCTTGAAATATTAAAAATGTTCGGTTTAAAGAACGTTCGGTTTAGAATAAAGAGGTGCCTCCCCATAATTCAAGTCGTTCGTAAGCCCGTTTGTTTTATGTGTTGCGCTCCAGTGGCTTAGTGGTTAGAGCGTCCAACTCGGATGCGGTAAGTCGCGGGTTCGAACCCCGGCCTAGTAATACAAAAGACTTTTAAAAAATGGTCCTAGCAGTTGCCTCACTTGGCGCTCAGCATTAAGAGGTTAGTGCTATGACTGATAGGCTTGGTGTCAGGATAATGTAACTGGGTGGAACATCATGTTCTATGCCCCAGTGCTAAACATCACTATAAACTGTCACACATTGTTATTGGTACGTTAAAATCCAAAACATGCAAACACACCGACCGTTGTTTTTCGAGAGTGCTCCAAATGTAGTGATATGATAGATTCGACAAACTCTTAATGACTTATCTAATAACAACAACATTTACATGTGGCGCACAAATTGATTCGAAGGAAATGAAGAGTCCGAATCGATTTTTAAGCAGATCTGAGAAGAAGAAAATTGCATTAGATCTAAAGAAAAAAAAACTACAAAAAAAAAACAAAGACGAGTGAATATTGGTGATCACCTGTGGCGCTGGAACATTCATTAAAAGGCGAATGTAGGCTGAAGATAATCTGTGGTGTTAGCTTTTGATGTTCACAACGGTAACATCTTCAAATCTTGTATTTCATCGACTGAAATTGGTTCACCCACTTACGTGTGAAAAAATTGCAGGGTTTATGAGTTGGATGGAGAGATTGCATGGCTCATAATGTGATGAATTGTCTATATTTTTTGGATTTAATGGAACCTAATCATGTTTACGACCAATATATCTCCAAGATTCAACTTTGTTCAGATGATTTGGCATGTACGACTTTTTGCACGTAACGGCCGCATTGAGGGTTTAACATGAGGTCTACCAATTTTTTACACCGATATTATTACAAATGAAGTTGTTTCTCCGCCACTTTTTTTTTCGATATTATTAGTGTGTCCACCACGGCCAGTAAGATAAGTTCAAAGTTTTAATATTAAAAAGTGGTGAAGTAGAACTTGTTCACAGCTGTTGTATTGGAACAATTGCTTATATTTGATAAATGCATACGCTGATTTTTTTGGAATCCGACATAACGTCATATCCGGGGGAACCTACCAATTGCTTTGTTATAAAGTGATAGAAACTAAAACATCTGATGACAGCGTAAAATAATAAAATAAAAAAGAGACAGTCATACATATAATTGCATTGCTTGAAAGGATATACAATTTATCAACTTAAAAATACACAATTTTATATAGTGCATTGATATTGAGGCCATTAAAATACAAAATATCTAACTTATGAATCCAGTAAGTTTCTTTTACGAGTCTATTCATGTCTCCATCACACTATATATTGGCATGAAAGAAAACTCGAGTAGAGAATAATTATTGGTATTTAAAAAGTGTTGAAATATTAGACAAAAACTGAGGATCTCTATAATATTTTTATATGAAAGCGATAATTATTCATTCTCTTAGACCAGACTCTGCTAACATGGGTAAGAGAAAGCCTGCCAGTAGCTTCTCGTGGGTCGGTGATTCTTCCCTGGGTTTTCCAGATTCTTCCTCCACCATTAATACTGGCTGCTATGTATATCCTATCTTGTGCTGAAAATGGCGTTGAACCCTATAACAACACTAACAACAACAACAACAACAACATTCTCTTAGAAACGTATTGAAGTGTTTGTTCTACATATTGCATGTTGCGATTTTTACAGGTTATCAAATCACTAAAGCTGATACGCAGTTGGTGTCAAAACGTAAATACCTCTTTTGTATCGGCGCAACTGAAAGAAGTAACTTTCTCTTGCGTTTGCACATTGAGAGCAACGGTGACTTACATTTAGATGACTAAAATTGTCTTTTATTTTGTCTGTTTAGTTCTAATAAGAAAATCTTGTCTATTCTTGGGTTTTTCTATAAGCAAGAATTTGTTTATTTTTGTAAAGTATTTTACGCTGTTTTTTATTTGATAAATTTAGGAGACTGTAAGAAATGGACATAACACTCATTGAGAGCATGGAATCGCACTTTATTGACATATATATATAGATACATATTCTAAAGATACAACATGTAAATTTATTTATGTTGAAAATACATACAATACATATTACAATACTTATTAAATAGTTCTTCCACAATCTAGTATTTCATTTGTCCATTCATTTTTCTGTATTTTTGAATACAAGTGATTTAAATATTTAAAGAGCCTAAAATTCAATAACTGTAATAAATGTATTTTATTTTATTTATTGTAAGGTAAAGACCTGAAAAAGATCTGTGAATGTTATACTTATTATTTAAAGAATATATATTTATTCTCAATTAAATTATAACATGAAGCTAGTAATTATTTCAAACAAATACTAATGAACAGCGAAGCTGTAAAATATTTCATTACATTATGATTGTGGAAGAAGGGAACTCAATAATATTATATTATAAATACAATGAACATCAATTCAGTAAAATATTAAATCAGTAAAATATTTCATAGTAGAAAAGAGAATTCACTATTACATTATATTAATGAAATAAAAATAATTCAGAAGAATACCACAACTCACTATAAAATCTTTAACTTCCTAAAGCGAGTATAAAGCATAAGTTTCTTACCTGTAAGAAATAGACATAACACTCATTGAGAGCATGGAATCGTACTGAGAATAAAACAGCTCAAAGCCTTTTTATATTCTGGAAGCTGCCTGATCACAAGTGCTACATCCAGTCTCAAAAGATGTTTGTCTAAAATGACGCGTGCTTCTTGCGTGATTTCCAAGGACAGCTTTAACTTTATATCAAGTTTTAGTGGGGGGGGTAGAGTGTGAGTGTGGACGGTATTTTTCCAAGTAACGACCTTTTGGATCATGTCCATAACCTTCCAGTGGTCATTCACATTGTAAACCTAATTAATTTAATTATTCCCTATGGTGATTATCAATTACTTTGTTCCCAACTTCACAACGAAATCTAATAAGGTTTTATTGATTGAATGGTGCAATAAAACATCATTTGACTTCTATCCGATTGAACTGGCTTATTAATTAGGCTTTTTCCATTACCAAGTGAAAGCTGAACAATAATAAATGCTTAATCTAAATTCATTTCAATGTCCTTATTATATTCAGGATATGAATTATTGATTGGAGCACGCTTCTCCTACACTCCAATCAATATCAAAGCACTAGCTTAAATTTGGATGTTTTTATCTTCCAATAACTAGAGATTTCAATATGTTGTACACAAATTAATATTTTCGTTTCTTTCTTTTAGAATTGAGATCTTGATACTGCTATATCTTTCATGAGAAAGGATATTGGTTCCAAAATGTCCACAGCCTAAAAAAAAAAAAAAGGGACCAAGACGGAAGACAAAAGATAAAAAAGTGAAGATGCCTTGAGATCAATGTCAAGAAAAAGGGCATTGGTCTTCAGCGTGTTCTAAGAAAAAAGAAAAGAAGAAAGAGCATTCTTCGAAAGCGGAAAAGGAAAACAAAACAACCCATACCAATTTAAGAAGTTAAGACAAGTAGAATAAATTGAATTGGAATAACTAATGCTAGTAAAGAAATTCAAATGAGAAAGACGGTGAAAGAAAAAGAAAGAAGAAAATAACTGTTGTGCTGTGTTATAAAATGTAATTGTTTTTGATTTAACATGATTATACCAAAGAAAATGTAAATGTCTGTGTCTTAACGTTTTTCTTTTGCATGGATAATATTTTTATATACTCACACAATCACACATTTCATCACATACGGATTTTAAGCTTTTGGGCTTTATTGTTTTAATTTTTATTATTATTATTATTATTATTATTAATAATAATAATAATAATAATAATAATAATAATAATAATAATAATAATAATAATAATAATATTATTATTAATAATAATAATAATAATAATAATAATAATAATAATAATAATAATAATAATAATAATAATAATAATTTGCAATCACTGAGTAGTATCTTTTTGCTAAGTAATTAAGGTGACCCTGAAAAAGACCTTTAGACTTATTTTTTAAAAAAAACTTATGGACTTTACATTGTCATTTGCAACTGTCTTATTCCATTTTCACGTCCATGTCCTACCCCTGTTGCTGTTCTGCTAGAGATATTTGAATTGTTGCTACTGGTGTCTCGGTGATGAGCTTCGATGTGGTCAAAGAAGGTTTAGAGTTTAGTATTACCAAATTTTTGATTGTATGCCTGCGCATATGTTTATAACCCAACTAAATTTCTAACCTGCACTTCTTTACGTTTGTTGAGTATAGCGTGTCTATGAACACTACCTGCCAGTGCTGGCGTGTATGTTAAAAACTTCTATACATGCAAATATAGCGTGTAGATAAACACGTCTACCCTTACCACTCCATATCTTTGGATAGTAGGAGTATATGTCTGTATTCACTATATACGGCGTGTTGGATAGTATGTATGGGGCATTAAATAGCAATATTAATTTTACGTTTTGGATTGCATTTAAAAATTAGTATGTTGGATAGTACTCTAAAAGTTGTGTGTTGGATAGTAATCAAAACGTATGTATTTGATAGTAAATCAAAAAGTGGTGTGTTTTATAATAACCAAATGTACGTATTGGATAGTACATCAAAATTGGCGTGTTAGATAGTAATCAAAGGGTATGCGTATGACAGTAAATTAAAATTGGTGTGCTTGATAGCAAAAAAAGAATGTGTGGTTATAAAGTATGTTTCGGATAGTATCTAAAAGCTTTTACATTTACATTTTCCTTTGTGCCCCAGAACGTTTTAACGTTAAAACGTGTTTTAATATATCTTTCATGTAGTGACCCAAAGTGTCTCATGTAAACGTACTAGGTATTGTTAATTCCTGTAGTGTCCATTTTTGAGGTCAACCACTTCTAACAATGTAACCCCATCTTACGTAAACCACTTCTAACAATGCAACAATGTGTCCTCAGTGTTAAATCACCGTGTGCCATAGAGTCTCTTGCATGATCAACATGTGGACATGTTTAACATTACCTTTTCTTTACTGAGAGACGCCACATGTAAACCGACAGTAAATTGTTAATTCCCGTCGAGCCCTATGGCGACTCATATTATTATCAGAATAT